GAAACACAAGTATTGACAGAAACATCTTTGTGCGCACCAAAATATCTTTTTATTTAGGAAAAAACCAGCAGCAGTTACTGAAGATTATTAACATTAAAAGCATTGAGTGGTTACCTTCACAGCATAATGCCTGTCATAGCTCATCTGACAGACTGATTATTCAAAGTCTGGTGCACCTATGGTTGGGAATCATATTGCAAGACTTAGGGCTCGACACTAAAACTGCCCTGTCTATCCACAGGAAGAATTATGCTAAATCCTGTTTTCGCTTCACAATATTCCTGAGGTGAAAATATTATTTTGCAGAAGTAAAATGTTTATTTTGACATTGTGACTGATGTCTTCTACCTTATGACAAGAAACATTAATAAAAGGCCTCACTAACAAGAAACTGTAACCTCCAGACCAAAGACATGTTTCTCTGAAACTTTCTTATTCTGGGCACGTTCTGTTTAGGCCCTTACAAAATCTCTACATTTCTAGATACCAAGCGAACTTTTGTCTCTAAACAGCACAGTAGTGAGGCGTTTATATTATCACCTATAGCAGGAAAAGCTTTTTCACTGGGCTTACCAAGAATACAAGAAAAAAAAGCTAAATTTCTCCAATTTCTTCTGGGTTTGTAAACCTACTTACTAAGATCTGGTGGCACACCTTGTAACTCCTAGTTAGATATTCAAAAATTGCAACATGACTACAAGTTAAATATAATTTGTGAAATATATGCCATATTTGATAAAAAATGCATGTAGTCAGAATCATATGATGATTTAATTTGCATAGATGTAAAACCAGAATTTATTATACACAACCTATATTCATAAAACTAGACAGTCACCTGGTTTCTCTCCACTGGTTTAATCTGGCAGTCCCTCACTAGAGGCAACAGAATTTTTAAAAGCAGCCAAGGCAAACCAGACACCAAGTGGAAGGAGAAAAGAACAGACAAGGTGCAGGAAAAGTGGTTCACACAAATACTAATATATCTCCTTTAATCCTTTAAAAGATTTTACTTTTAGACTGATGGAAGAAGTAGACAGCAGCCAGGCAAAACGGAGTGAGTCTGACATCACTGATGCATCTGCAAAAAGCTGATCTTCTTTTCCAGAAAGCAGAGTTCTACAAGGAAATCTACAGTATGCACTTAACTTTTTTAGGTAATCCAAAGATCTCCTGTAACAGAGATGTGGAGCAGAAAGTAGTTACTGTCTTGGAGAGAGGCTGAACGGACTGAGGTACTGTGCAGCATAAGGGCCTGGAAACATGGGTCTTCACTGTAAGACTGGAGAGAACTTAAGCTGGTCTGGAGACAGACACATGAGTATGTTATTATTGACATGATGCTCACTTCAGTAAAAAAAATTTCAGAACAGACATTCAAGTAGCAAGGTGATACAGGCCTTAGCTCGAGACATTGGTGTCTAACCAACAAAGAGTAGAATAACCAAGAGACTGCAGAAATGCACTGAAGATAAATTCAGAAAAAGACATCTGACTATCTTCCACTGAGCCACTAGCAAGATGAAACATCAGAAAAGGTTGTGGTACAGCTCATAGTGGCCACTTGCATTTAAAATCTGCACAGAAGGCTACTTCAGCATGGTTGTATCTGTTGACTACCATTTTCATCTACAACAGATAACATTTATAACTGGTTGGAACACAGTTACTCAAACTAAGTTTTAACATTTCATCAAGCTGCTGAGACATCCATGTGTAGACCACGCCAATATGCAAGTTTCTTTGCTATGTTTCACAAATAATAACAAATAAATAGTTTTCAAAACACAGGCTGGAGTTTTTGTATGTTAAGAAGGAAAAAAGACCCAAATGTTATTTTCAGTTTCTGATGTGCTCAGCTTAAGCAAACCATTATGAAAGCAAGCAATTATAAAGAATGCTAGGTGGCATGTAGTGGTTTTCACTGATATAGCATTATCCACACACTAAAAGCTGGAAATAAACCATACTTGATAATGTACATATTACTTGAGAACGACATAAGTATCTGAGCACTACTGAGAGTTCTGTTGTTCATCTGTAATTTCAGGAAGAAGATGGCTTTCTCTGTCAACCATGGGTCAACATAACTCTCAAGTAGGCACACGTTTCTGCAGCATTTCTTCTGGATAATGAACATTTCATTTAAAGCCCCAGGTAATATCAGATACAGAAAAAACCCCACATATGTATGTATTTGGTTCCTGGATCCATGTGGATGCTTTTAACCCCACTCTACTCCTCGCTGAACTTCACTTTCCACCCCTCTGTACTCATGTCTAAACATAAAGGTATTTACATGTCTGAAAGGAACTGGAAAGCAACTGTGATATTTCCCAGAGGATTTTAAAGCTCTTCTCACACAAAAGCAACACATCATTATGTCACAGTAGCACTTCAATAAGGGGCACCTCAGGAAGGGCCTCTGACATGGTTATGATTAGCAGATTCATCACTTTCACTACTTCACTTGTAAAAGAAAGACTGGAACAGAAATATTTTCAGTTAGTATTATCCTTCTCTGGAATCAGTTATGTCTGTAGCCTTATGGAATGTACCATCAATAAGATGGTCTTTGGATAAATGTACTTTTATGCACTGTTGGAAGTACCTAAAACTGATGGGTCTTTGAAATCGTGTGTGTATCTGTTGTTCCTTGGCAGGTTCTAAATCCACAAATTCATGAGCGGCTTATTGTGATTCATATGCCACTTTCATTTTTGGCAGGTAATGCTAATGGTATTGGAGAATGACTATTTGAATGAGATCTGCACCCACTTCCCTCAAATCAGGACTCTAAAAATGCTCAGAAAGGAGCTGTCAGCATAAATAAAAAGAAAAAAAAAATTAAAAAGAATGCGAACACTTATTCTGTATAGGGTTTCAACTGCACAATTCCGGGCATCAGGGATGAGCAGGATGCAGAGGACTTTCTATAGTTCCTGTAGAAGGCTGGGCAATCAAATATCTAGGGGGAGGAATTGAGGAAGAGGAAATATCTACGTGTCAGTAATAGGAAAGTTGTATTGTACACCTGGTTTTTAGGCATGCCATCTGTGCTCAGTCATACCATATAGCTTTGATGACATGCCACAGCTAAAGGGCAGGCAATATATGTCTTGCTTCAGTGACATGAATGACACAACTTGGTAAAACTCACTGCTTAATGATATATATCATAACTCTCAAACACAGTATATGGTTGTCCCATTTGGTTTTCAAAGTGTTTAGACACAAGCTAGGTATTTTGATACTGAAAGCACTGAAGAAGCATTATGGTGAAAAACAATGCACACTAGGTAAGCAAGAGCACCTTGTCTATACTAATGCTGGACTTCCTATCATATTTTGTTGGTTTGTAACAATACTGTAACATTCAGATAATATTGTTTACAGTAGCCTAATAACAAGCAATTCTATTCCCATTACTGCTCACAGTCTGATATTAAATATTTGTTTCCAAAGTAAACTGCCTGATGCAGTTGAAAAGTACTACCACACTATTTTTTGAAAGCTGGATAAACCTTATCTTTCAAAAACAAAATGTAACCTTAAAAAAAAGTGTGTGTATTTTGACTAATATACAGAGTTGATGAAAAATAAGGTTTATGTTACATTTCTATTTTAAGGAAGGATTTTCCATAGTGCACTTGAGGATCTTTAAGAGGGAGTTTGGTCTAAATTCAGTTCCAGTTCTGGATCTGGTCTTAAATCCATGTGTAGCCTCAGGCAAATGTGTTAATTTTCCTGTTTCAGTTTCCCTGCCTTTAAAGTGGGGATAACGTGACTAACCCAAATAGCTTAGCTGCAATTTGTAGCAATGAGTAACTTGATTATTAGATTTCTGAGACATGAAACATGATTATTATTAGGGCTTACTGACCAGCCAGTCAGAAATGTGATACAAATAAAGGAGATGGGTCTTTGACAAAAGAAGGATGTAGGTTATTCAGTCAGTCAGTCAGTCAGAGTAGCTCTGCAAGGAGGCAACTCTAGGGAGTGGAGAGTTGGACCTATGAGAATGTCCCCTTTGTACTGATTTCGCATTTATTACCCCATGGTATCAAAAGACCATAAAAAGCCAAGTCCTCTCTGAGAAATGAATAGGTCCAAAGCACTACAACAGATCAGCTGCAGGCAAATAAATTTTTATCTGTGTAAATGAGCTCAATGTTATTTTCTAGTGGAAATGTCAGAATTGATTAAAGACCTAGCATTTCTATTTAAAATGAGAGAGTAGGGGATGATACATTTTAAACTGAAAAAAAGTCAGAGGACTGATAGCATGGAGATAAAGGGGTGAATTAATTTCTGGTGTTGTTGCAGTAATTTGGTACCAACATATTGAGTCCAAATTTGCACCACTGTACCTATTATAAATAGTAGTGCCTTTTAATAACTGTGACAAAAATACTCTCCCCACTGGCAAGGTCAGTATTATTAATTGCTATTCCTATTATTAACCTTTGGGCTTTTGTATCCTCCATGGATTAATGATTATTCAATAACTGAGCTACAAGGTTAACCTACTAATAGCAATTAATAGAAGAGCATACTGCAGGCTAACTAGGAAAAGCAATGACGTTTCAACTTCTTGGCCTTGGTCTTGTTTCATGCAAAGGTGTTCCGGAATTGTACCTGTCAGTTCCCAGAGCTGAAAGAGAAAATCTGCCTCAAAGTTGAGACAAATTAAAAAAAAACAGAGATTGGGCTGACATCCGGGATCCCCTCTCTCATCAGTCTCCTAGGGAGTAAGGAACAGCCTCAGCTTTCAGGGAAACCTGCGCTCATTGCCAGGGTCATTCTCCAGGAACTCCACTTCCAAATCCTGCACCAGTGAAGAGGGGAAAGAAGGTCTCAAAAACAGCAACAACAACAACAACAAAAGGAAAGAAAAGTATTTCCCCTAGGAGAAGTTTCACGAATAAAGGCAATTCTGAAACAGGGTTACGGAGGAGCACGTGGTGCCAGGTGAAACACCAGGCAGGAGCACCAGAGTGATGCGCGGCGGGACTCGGCCCCGCTCCCGGCCCGACGTGGCAGCGGAGCTGCCGGCAGGCAGAGGCCTCCGGGGGATGCCTGCCCGCACCCGGGCATCCCCAGCCCGCCGCGGCAGCGGAGCCTCTCTGTCTCAGCCACCTCAAATCGCGGGTGGCCGTGGGGCGCTGCCTGCCCGAAAGGGGCTGCGCCGGGGCTCCGGGAGTAGCGGCGGGGGGCGGCCAGAGGGCGCGGGGACAGCTGTGGAAATAAAGGAGCGGGGGAAGGATGGAGAGAAGGGGGAAGAAGGGGGCGGGGGCGCGGTGCCGGGGAAGGCAATGCGGGGACGGTGGAGGGTTTCGAGCCGAGTTGCTGGTGGAAGGCACGGACACACAAACAGCAGCATCCCCCGGCACTTCCACCAAGTCAGCCCCACCGCCCCGCGGGGCCGGGAGCCGCCGGAGGGAAGGAGCCGCGGCGCACACACACACACAGACACACGCCGCCGCTGCGCTCCAGCCGCCGCTCGGCTCTCCCCCCTCCCACCGCCGCCGCGCAGGCAGCAGGCAGCGGGCGCGGAGCCGAGCGGGAGGCGCAGGGCGAGGAGTCCCCCGGCCCCAGTCGGACCGGCCTCCAGCGGCCGCGCTGCCCCGACGGCACCGCCGCCCCCTCCCCGGGGGCAGCGCGCACCTCCCCGCCTGGAGGGGCCGTGCGAGGCAGCGGGCGGGGGAAGCGCGGGCACACACACACGCACTCTCACACACATATACACACACACGCGCAGGCACACCCGCACAGACACACGCAGGCAGAGGCAGGGCTGCCCCACGCCGGTACCTTGCTGCCCTGGTGTTTTCCGTCCGGGCTCCTCCTTGCTGAGGCAGCTCGGGAGCGGAGCCGAGCGGGCGGGTGCGGGTGCGTGTGCGTGTGTGTGTGTGTGCGTGCGTGCATGCGTGTGCCTGTGTGTGTGTGTGTGTGTGTATGTGTGTGTGTGCGAGAGCGAGCGAGCGAGAGAGACTCTCCCCCCTCCCCCTCCTCCTCCTCGCTCTCCTTCCTTTAAACGCCCACTCCTGATGGGTGAAAAGACAACTTGAACTTCAGTGCAATTAACTTCGCCGGCGCCTCGGAAGCCGGAGGTGTCGCCGGCCTCGCCCGCCGCGCTCCCATGAGTGAGTCGGTCCCGCTCCTTCGGCGTCTCTCCTCGGGGACGTGGGGGACGGGGGGGGACAGAGCCGTGCCGGGGGCACCCGCGGCGGCGATTTACCGAGGCCGGCTGTTCCGGCCCGGGAGGGCGGGCGGGAGGGAGGCGCGGGGCGGGTGGCTGTGCTCGGCGCTGCCGCTGCCGGAGCCTCCCGGCCGGCACGGGCTCACACCTGCCGCCGCTGCCGGCCGCCGGCCCCGCTCCGCTCCGCTCCGCTCCCCTGCCCGCTGCCGCCTCACCCGCCGCCGGCACGGGGGAAGCGGCGGGAGGTGGGGGTGGGGGCACAGGGAGAAAAACCACAGAAGTTTGGCAAAGTTCTTCCCCAGCCCCGCGCGCCTCCCGGCAGCGGCGGGCGCGGCGCCCCCGACGGCGCGGGGCGAAGCGGCGGGGCCGGGGGTCGCGGGCAGGCGGGGGCCGGGGGGGTCGCGGGGTGGCGCTTCCGCGGGGCTGCGCGGGGGTTGCGCGGGCGGCCGAGCGGCGGCGGCGGCGGCTGGCCCAGCCGGGGGCGCGCCCGTGGCGGTGGGTGGCACGTCCCCCCCGCCCGCCCGCCCGCGGCACGACCCGGCGCTGCCGCTGTCACGGGGAGCAGCGCCGGGAGCTCGTCTGTGCGCTCCAGGATTTTAGTTTTGATTTTTCCGCTCCGTCTCCGAACCCGCCACCCGAGGCTTTGCTAAATCCTCGCCCCTTTGTCGCCGTCTCCGCCGGCTGCCGTGGGGAGCGCTCCTGACAGGCACCTGCCCGACCCGGAGTTTCCCTCTGCCAGTCTCCAGCTTTTTCTGACTGCGGGAGAAACTTCGCTATAATCTAAGTTTTCTGAAACACTTTGCACCAGCTCCTAAACTGAAATGAGTTTAAACTGAGGAAAGCTCTCCGCTGGTTTTAGTCCGTGCGAATGAGCGCAGCGCTTCTGCGAAAATAATTCAGAAATTCAGATGCGGAAACTCTAGGTTTTGTGATCTGGAGGTGCCCTTTCATTCTGGTCCGTGCTGCTTGGGTGGGAGTTAGCAGCGGCCCCTTATTTCTACTTTATATTATTTTGGTACCGTGCATTCATATATTTATCTGCTGTAGTCTGCTGGCAAACATTAGCATTCAAGCTTACATTTTTGACAAATGTGCAGACAGGAATAGCATGAATAGGCATCTTAAATATTAACAACCTAAGCATCTGTTGTGAAACAAATTTAATATATTTACTCTGTTTTTCTCACATTGTTAGGAAAGGTTACAATAAGTGTAAAATTTCAGCTGTAGTTAGCACAAGGAATGCTTGGATATTTCACTATCTCTTCAAGCATTTAACACAATCACCAGATAGAAATGTGTCAAATCAGGCGCACTATTCAAAAACAACTTGAAACTGTAAGCGTAGAGTGTATAGACATGAATATAGCATGTTCTCTGCAATTTCTACCTTCTAATTACTCTTCAGCACTATCTGTAGAATTTGAGAATGCTCTTTCCGGTCCTGTACTCCTATATCCTCTTTAATATGTTTATACATACACACACTCATCTTCTAATTCACTTTCTATTTGAGATTGTTATTGGTATTGCTTTGCTTTTCAAGGTTTTGCAAGGAAATGTGAAATAATATAGAGTAGGTAAAAAAATGAGCAGGCAGAAAATGCAACGTGTTCACATATAAGCATGCGTCGGAACAGATAGTGCACACACATAATAAGGCAATAGAAGAGAAATTAAAATCCTTGGCTAGTATGCTATGTATGCCCACTCTTCAGTACAGCTAGTGGCAAAGAAACAACTGACTCCAAGGAATTCCTCTGTCCCTGTAATAAAACTGTTCAGAGTAGAACAAGAGCACAGAAGAGCAAAGCCGCCAAAAAGGCTGTAGAGTTATTTCAGGAATCAGTGCATTCCTTCCCTTTTTCCCACAAGTTCAAATATGTAATAAATAAGTCCTTTGTATGTAAAATAGTTTACTGGAACAAAAAATATTTAAATGAAATGCTTTTTCGTGCATGAATTTTGAAAAACTGGTCATTTCCTTTTTATATTCTTTGTTCTTGGTACTTTAAATAGCAAAGTAACTCTCGCAGTTTCCCCTCTCATGCTATTTTAGCGACTCGTGCGAATCCTAACCTGCTGCTGTGCTCCCGAGAAAGCAGTGTGAAGCAGAGCTGATCTGTAACTCCCTGATGGGACACAGTGCTTTGGCAGTATCCGGAGCAGAGAGAGGCTGCCACGCCAGCCCCAGCTTGCAGAGGAGCAGGGCACCTCTTTGGTTTGCAGCATAGGCCCAGCAGGTCAGCGGAGGAGCACCTGCCCTCTGTGGCTGTGCTTCCCAAGGCAGCGCCAGCCCTGCCTGCAGCCCTGCCAGCATCCCACAGGCACCAACCACCACGTTCAGCCCTGCTGGGGACGTGGGCACATCCACCCCTGCAGCACTAAAACCTCTTTAGAGAGGTTTCTCCCACATTAGATAGAGAGTTTGGGGTAGAGAGGGGTTTACATGTGTGCAGCTGCCATTTAGAAGATAATCCGATGAAGTCTGGTGTTCGTCCTAAAAAAAGGACCAACCAAAAAAACCCACCAAACCTTTTAAATTTATCAGCCACTTGATTTTTCGAAGTATTGTCACCTTTTTAATGTCACCTATTTTTTTTAATCTAAGTATTGCCAGAGGAATTTGAAGTAATTCCTTAGGTTTCCAGCTGCATTTGAAAAAAAAATAAATAAGGGAGATTACTTTATTAATAAAGTAGTTTCTAATATATAGAAAAATACATTAAAGTAGATTTCCGAATTAAAACTGGAGGAAATACGACTTCTGAAATGTTTTAGTCATATTTCTAGGAACTATGGTATTTTAAGATAGACTCTAGTGAAGCATTTTATTGCCTTCTTGTATATAACTGCCATTGCTCTCTCTAGATATATTTAATATATATCCAGTGAAGCCACAAACTTTCCTTCTACAACAGTTTAAACACATCTGGAACATTTTACTTTCTTATAATTTATGTTAATAGATGTAGAGTGCATATACAATCTTCTCAGACATCATTGCTTTTTCCAAAGGGGAATTTTTTTACTTTCAGTCAGGGAATATATTTATAAGAACAAAATAACTCAAAGTATAGGCAATTCTATATATCATTTTATTTTCTGTTATATTAGGTTGATTATATAAAGCTTTCATTTAGAGCGATGGGATGATGAAATTACAGAGGAGTGATTGGCTTTTGTTTTTTTTTTCAAATGGTTCAAGTTGAGGGCTGCAAAAATGAATGTTTTTGGTAAAGTTCTTTGAGTGCATAATATTTTTCATAGAATTCTGACAAATTAATTTAATAGAAAAGCCACAAGTCTCTTAGCCAGGTAAAATGGAAGTTCTGTTTTTGCCGTTATAGGCATCAGGCTTCAGTAATCTGCTCCTCTTGTGGAATGAACACTTTCTACTTAAAGCTATCATGCACCTACTGTTTATTTACGCTGCATTAAACTGACAGCACGGCAATCAGAGGAAAAAATATGACTTACTTTCCTGAAGTAAACACCAGTTTATAGGTTTGTGCCTGTATTTATATTCCTGTCGCCACTAAATAATGGCTGTCTCCATTTTAATATCTACCTGTGGTGTTACTCAGGGCAGCTGGCTCTTCCTTGTTTAAAACAAGGGGAAAAGGAAAGGGGGGGTGAGGAAGAGAAAAAAGTTTTGTTATCATTCCACTCTAAGAGGATCTTAATAGAAAAGTGATTCAGTATTCCTTTCTGTGGCAAGCCGAAGCCAGTTTTAAAGGCATAGTATTCACTTTTACTTGGTGTAATTGAATTGCATCTCAAACAGGGAAAACAGAATTCCTTAACAGTATTTGTCTATCCAAGACACTGAAATTGTATATTCAGGCAATGGCAGATTAAGGGCAGAAGCATTTTATTAATAACTGAAAGCACATATGTGTGTGTGATGAAAAATGTTCTGCAAATCTGTCACTATGCAATCAAGTGCATTTTTTAAACTTTAGTTGTCACAAAGTTGCTACTGATTCTAAAAAAAAAAAAAGGCAGAAAGAAAGAAGTAAAACAGTTTGACGGTTAAAGAGTAACTTACAGTTCTTACTGCCTGTTATACGGAAATTTTGCAACTTTATAAAGTCAGTGTCAGAAAGCCCTGTTGATGTTACTTTTAATCTTGGAGTAATGAGTCCAAGTAGCCGGCGTTTGAACTGAAGATAACTGCAGTCAGAATAACCCACACTTTGCAAAAAGCTTCTCGAAATTCTCTGTTGAAGGGTTCCATTAATAACTTTCACCTGAGAGGTTCATTTGTTCCTCAGATTCTGAAAGTATTATACTTAACACTAAGTTGGCTTGTTGGTCAGTTCCCTTGGCTGTGGTATCATGAACTCTCAACAGCCCTGACCACAACTTGTAACTGTTACTTCCAAGAGGATATGCTATGATGTTCCCTTCAAAAATGCTGGTGGTTTCGAACATTTGCCATCCTGTGGCATCTAAGTTTACCACAGTTATCATCAACACTTCATTACATAATGGGTATACATTCTATTGCTTTGCAAATGTCAGCTTTCTGATGGTTTCTGCATATAATGATGTGTACTGATGCTCTCAGGAAGTTTAAGTCTTGATTGAGATTAATTTTAAGCACTGATCTTGTACATGTGTCCTGATCTGGTCCTTGTGCCCTCTACCAGTTGTAATCTACTCTTAATCTATTCTATCTGGTGCAATGTACTAGGAATGGCATAGTAATAGTAGAGTGCAGTAGTAGAGTGTAGTAACATACCTCAGGCACCGTCTGAATTCTAAATATTTCCTTTTAAACTTGCTGAGCCTGACTTTGCTCCCATGCACACTGGTGTGTCACTGCAGAGCTTAGTTTTCACTGTTCCTGTAGACGATCCGTGTTAGGTGTTCGGGTAGGCTGAGGGACACACTAACACTTAGTACTTGTGCCAAGGTTCACCTTTTAGCTATTTATTTAGAACACCACAGCAATCTCCACAGCAATCTCTGTGGAGATTGATTCCCCTGTGAAACACTGTGCATTTGTGTTTGCTGGGATTGGGACTGTAAGACTTGCTTTCACCGGAGTGCAGGCTAGCTGCTGTCTCTGAGCTGCTGTAAAGCATTGCTGGTGACACCTCTGCACAGCTGTGGGTTCATAAGAGTCAGCTCTGGCTGCCTTGTGCTTCGCTGCTGTGAGCTGTGGGTTAGAGAGGCAGAGGAGCCTGCTGGCCTGTGGATGGGCCCCGGTCACCCCAGCTGCACCTGGGTGCAGAACATCAGGACGGGCCACGTCTGCAGCTGCGTTGGCCTTACATAACTTCCAGTGACTATCTGCTCTATCTCTTTCCCGTGGCACATTATGACATGATATGACCTGAGGAGATGAGGGAGGTGCTTTAAACCTCAAGTGCATCTCATCTTCCCAGGATCCTGCTCTGACAGGATTTATTTGGCCAGCAGCAATCATTTGTGGGTCGTTACACTTGCTGCTCACTAGACAAAGTGATGATGCGCTCAGACTGCCTATGCTTGGAGGACCGTCTCTTCATCTTTTCTGGTGTCTGGACTTCTGGTTTCAGCCCTGAAAAAAAAGTGTAATTTTGCGTTAATAACTGTCCATGCCATGTTTG